AGTGCTCCACGGCTTGAGACGGGCGGTAGGGGTATGTGGCGAGGGGGCGTGGTTTAGCGGGGTCTGCAGCGGGAGAGAGCGGTCGGAGACAAGCGGTGAGTAAGTAGGTCAAGTGCATGATGACATTCACCTGCTTCTCGTTTCAGTGATTGGCCTGGAGAGATCGTAAAAGGCCTCAGGGGGAACAGAGAGGGAGAGAGACAGACTTTTTGTTTTGCAGTGCCAGAGCGCCTGCTTGTATTCGCTGTTCCTACGGGACGCTTAATAAATTACCCGAGCCTAAATCACGCTGACTCCGACTTCTTCCTTCCCTACTAAAGAACCTCATTACAAAGCCCAATATTTTTTTTTGATGATTTATTATCATCAATATTATTTATTATCAATTATTTATTACCAATAAATGAACCTGCAACATATTAAACTGAAACCACTCTTTTATCTGAAAAGCAAAAACAGATATGTTATTTTACAAAAATCAGCAAACTGCAACAAAGTGAGAACAAAAAACTCATTTCCAATCACCTGTGAGCAGAATAGGATTGGAGAGATGGAAAAGGAGAAAAACACAAGAGCTTCAAAGGGGAACTGTAACATAGCCACATATTTATAGCCTACTAAAATATAGGCTATTCGAACCAAATGTATAGGCTATATAGATTTAGTATTAGTATAGGACTACTTGTTTTATTACAGCCCATGATAATTAATACATTACAAAAACATTGTAAAAATTAAAAATTAGGCTAAAAGAAAGTCATCCCACTGCTCTACGTCTACTTCTATCATTGCTTGGAATACAGCGTCATGCACCTTCTTTTTGAACGTGATTTTCTTCAATGAGGGGGAGGAGGGGGCGGAACATTTGGCAAATTCAGCTGCAGAACTTATATTATTGCACTGGTTGGCTATTAACTGTGAGCAGACAGTGTCAACCAATGCATTGGGGAATATGGCGAACATAAATAAAGAAACAAAGTTGCTTGTCAGATTTCCCTAACAAGCAACCATATATTTTTAAATAAGCCCAAAAAACCGCAACCCTGGGATTTTTTCACGCAACTTTACAAAAAAAGAAGGCCAAAGTCGCGTATAATATGCGGACTTGGCAACTATGGACACAAAGCAGGTTAAAGGGTCATGAAACCAAGCGAGCAACGAGCGCTCCCAAGCTGTCATTCACTTCAACTGCAGCACGAAACCAATGATGCGCAATGCTGCGAATCGAATGTTGAGGCTCTGCCATTATTATTGAATTTCATTAGTCCCAGTTATGATTTATGCGCGAAAGTAAGCAAGACACGACAGGCTACAGTATCATGATTATGGTTAAATAAGATAAAAGATATCTAATATAAACAAATGAAATTACATTAATTTTTAACTAAATATCACAACACAAATGTATTGTTTTTAATTATGATAATGATAAGCGCAACTTACTGTAGATTTATGGAGTAAAAAGGCTTGACTGCTTCATTTTGGTGTATATTTGTATACTTTTACCCTAATCAATCTCAGCATGATTTAATTGCTTCACTAAGGTTAAATTAAGTCTTTCTTTGGTCAGCGCTCTGGAAGTGATCTTTTAATTATGCTCAATTTTAATTATAAAACTAAAACTGAAACTAAACTATATAAAAAAAAATAGAAATGTGTTCACAAAATAAAAACTGAACTAAAACTAACAAAATTATTAATGAAACTAATAAAAATGAAACCAAATTTTGGTGCAAATTTTAAAACGATATTAAAATGCAAAACTATAATAACCTTGCCCGTAAAACCTTCGTTCATCTTCGGAACACAAATTAAGATATTTTTGGTGCATTCCGAGAGCTCTCTGACCCTCCCATAGACAGCAAGGATCCTTACACGATCAAGGCTCAGAAATGTAGCAGGGAGATCACTAAAATAATCCATGTGACATCAGTGGTTCAACCGTAATGTTACGAAGCTACGAGAATAATTTTTGTGCACAAAGAAAACAAAAATAACGACTTTATTCAACAATTTGTCTCCTCCGCGTAAACATCCCCAGTGAAATATGCCAGATCATGGTAGTGTACTACATCTTCCACAATCTAATCATAACCAACTTATTTCTCAGTGAACTACCTCTAAGATTGTTTTTTCAATTCTATTATTCAGTTCTCAGTCGTTCTGCGACTGAATAAATGCACTTCTTGCCAAGAGAAAAAGTGACAGAAGCAGCCGTTGTGAGTGGGGTGGCCAACCCTAGCCCTGCGTTAATTGCGTTAAATATTTTTAACGCGTTAAACTGAAAAAAATTAATCGCCTGCGTTAACGCGCTAATTTTGACACCACTAATATATATACATATGTGTGTGTGTGTGTATGTGTATATATATATATATATATATATATATATATATATATATACAGTATATACACAGACATACAATAAAGTTTATATTAAATCTTAATACAATATAAGTGGACTTTCTTAATTTTTGTAAGCATTGCTTTTAGTATATTATTTGTAATTAACATATTTCTGCTTAAATTTTTAATTTTTTTACATTTAAATATGTTCATGTGTTTTACATTATTATTATTATGAAATAATGTGCCATAATTTCCTGAATTAATTATAAGTATTATTTTTTTTAATCATCTGAAACTAGCAGCGACTTAAATTTCAAACCAGCTTATATAATGCATTTAACATCAATCACACAAAACAAGGACAAGGCACAAATGTAATTATTTAGCGCATTTTCCACACTACAGTAGTTTCAGTTTCACTTTAAAAAAAATTTGTTTAGGCTTGCTGTTTATAATAAATGTGCTTATAATGAATGCCACTATAATAAATATTTGTTTTATACTATATTTTTCATTTTTGTTTGAAAATGTTTATGATATAATATAATATAATATAATGTAAAGATGGTAAAAAAAATCAGTAAAACTAAAAAAAAATGGCACATAGAATAATAAAACTATTTCAACAAAATACCATCAAATGTGAAGCGTCACATGGGAAATTCTGGGAATGTCCATTCATGGTTCTTCACTGTAAGTTATACAATGAATTGTTCTTTTTCACTTCCAAAAATGTTACATTTAACAGTATTTTACTGTAAACATACATCAAATGTAAGGTTGGATCTATTAGTTATTGACCGTATATTGTACGGAAACTTAGTGTAACCAATTTTACTGTCTTTTACCATTAAAATCACAATCATTTTTTTACAGTGTGTAATATAATATAATATATAAAGTTTTATTAGTTTAGCATTGAAGATACATTGAAAATCAAGTATTCAAAATCTAATTTAAACCTAGAAGTAATCAGAAAGTTTTAGGATAATTAAAAATGTATATGCAGACCTGTAATGGTGTACTCTCAGCAGACATTGACGTGAAGCCCACTATGTCACTGAAATAGATGGTGACACTGTCAAAGGCTTCGGCCTGTACAGTCTCCCCACGCTTGAGCTGCTCCGCCACTGAACTGTGAGAAGAATTAAGTTATGATGTTGAACCATGAAATCGTTTTCCATACACGAGTCCAAACACACAATAGCAGACATGCAGCAGCAAACTATCAGTTATTTTAAAAATTCATAGATGAAAACAGAAAATAATTTCATTTAATAAATCCTTATCTAAAAACTAAACAAAGGTATAAACAAATCGAAATCGAAAATGATTTACAGCATGTTGAAATATGGGAGCTTTGTACAGCAGCTTTTTCTTAATAAGACCCAAGATCACTTTTGAGATCAATTAGTATGATAATTCATTTAATTAAAGAATGAATGAGCTTGTTTAATTCCTAGCTATTCCCTTAGAGAGTTTAGTACTCTATAATTAGTCAGCTTGTCTGCTTCGTCTTAACCCGATCTTAACAGTTCTCACCACTTACATAATTGTCTGAAATACAGACTTTACTCAAAGAACAGTAAGCCAGTTTTAGATGAGACAAAAAATATGGTAGAAGTTGCAAGTTATCTAGTAATAAGAGAACTCTTGAACTAATAGCTATCTCTTCCTCAATCTCCAATTAAAAGTTTGGAAACTGCATAGTAAATATTACACAACACATTTCTTACTGTGGAAGGATTTGGTAAAGAAGATTTTCAGCTTTCCGTTTCTCCTCGAGGTAGGCTTGTGTTCGCTCCTCTACCAGGTTTTCCAGGTTATTGGCATATTGTTCCATTCTGGACAGCAGGTTATTGAGAATACTGGTGCTGCCTTCTCTGTTGAGGAAAAAAAAAACATTAGACACCTGCTTCCACACATGATGTGTAATTACAGCAGATATACATGATTATAATTACAGCAGATGGATTACAGTAGAAGATTGCATTTATGTGAAATCACTGGTAACCCATTAATAATTTTACAAGATGAACTGGAGAGATTGCAGCATATGACTGGTTATGAGAAAAGCATGAGAATAGTTCTGAAAACAGAAAACAGGAACATGTACTCAGTTCTGCAGTTAAGAGCTATAATGCAGAGTAATTCATAAGAAGTATAGCATAATTAAATAATAAATAATTAAATAAAAAATTAAATAAATTATTATTTATTTATTATTAAATTAAGTATAGCATAGTTGCATCTTATGAGGCGGTAAAATGCAGCACTTACGATGAAGTGTGGTCGATTCTGGTTGAATCATGTGCTGCTGGTGTGTGGTTTGCTGAATCATATTGTTCTATTTAGAGGTCAGTGCTCACTCCTACATGAAGCACACTCATACAGACCTGCAGGGCAGCATTCATCTAATGAGCCACACTTCTCAGTACTTAATTTTTGAAGTTTAAACTTAGGCAATTGAAAATGGGGAAAAAATTGATATATTAATAATTAAATTAATATTAATTTAATATATAAATACTAGGGCTGGTAATTTAACGCGTTAATTCGATTAATTAATTATGGTGAAAAATAACACATTAAAATTATTAACGCATTTAACGCACTTGCCCCACCCCAGACCTAGGGTCATCTGACATTTCATACAGTTGATTGATGACAAATATGAGGCAGGGCAAGAACTCACTGCGTGATGGAGCCTACAGAATGTTGTTAGAATGTCCCTAAAATTCAAGATATGGGGCAAAAATGCCCCATTTGAGTTTTTGTCTCATATTTACATCATATATTTAAGCAACAGGCTAAGTCCAATATCACACAAGTGCAAATATGATACTGAA